CGTCCAGCTGTGGATTGCCAAACTAAAATACATTTCCTTCTTTTTCCCAAAGAATTTTCACAGATTTGCCGTTAGTTCCTGAGTATCACTTGACATTACATAAACTACCTATTTCTCTGGAAACTGCAGAGGGTTCCCAAAGAGGAAGCCAGCTGCCCTTGTTGGTCCTTCATCTCTCTAGGAACTGCCTGGGGTTGAATGTTTTCCATTAGGCCAAATGATTCATGCAAGAAACAGTCTGTAAATATGTAAGTACATGATGATCTTCACCATTGTTATCACCAGGCCACACTGGGCAAAGATCCCAGCATAAAAGCAAGAAAGTGGTGATGTAGCCATGGTGTGAAGGACTCATGACACTTTCATCTTCCCAGTCTCCAAGGTAGGAAAGTGCTTGTTCGGTTTCAGTGAGTTCAGAGCGCATGTGGTGCCATGTTTACTTTTGTTGTTCTAACCCAATAGGTAGCTTTCAGAAAATGAGTGGAGCCCCGTCAATTGCACAGTAGCATTCCTTGGGTGGTGGTGCAAGTGCAGGGTGGTTAGATCTAAGATGTGAATTAAAAAAAAAAAAAAATCAACATCTACTGATACTGTCCTTTAGTTATTGTCAGTACACAAGGGGTCCTACCCCATGTTGTGGTCCCCAATTTTTTTTTTAAATTATTAAAACTTTGTCTTTATTTAAAAATTGTATTTTTGTATGTAATAATAGACATATTAATATAATAGCACATCATATATTTCCTAAATAAGTATATGTATACTGAGGGTTAACTAAACTTTTGTGTATATTTACACAAAAAATAGAAAATATTTGCTTAAGTTTTTTTAAAACACTTTTCAGTTCTCAATCAAAACATTCAGATGTCACTGCTTATCTTCCTTCATAATCACTTCTTCGCTGAGTCCTACAAACAATTTTATTTTTTTAATTTAAATTTTATTTTTTATTTTCCCCATACAATTACAACCCCCTTATTTTGACCCCAAGCCCTCCTTTCCCCGCCCCCTCCTGCCATAGGACACAGAAACATCAATTCCAAAGAGCACCTGCACCCCTATGTTTATAGCAGCACTGTTTACAATAGCTAAGCTTTGGAAACAACCCAAATGCCCAAAAATAGATGCCTGGATCAAGAAGATGTGGTACATATACACCATGGAATATTACTCAGCACTCAAAAAAGATAAACACATGCAATTTGCAGCAACATGGATGTGTCCCAGATTTTAAAGATAAGTAGACTTCTTTATATCAAAGCTGATAGAGAGGTAGCAAAATGCATCTGCTTTGTGCTCCTTGTTAAGTGAATGAACTACTAAGAAAGATTTAATTGGATACCTGAGACATGGTACATCTCAGTTTTATCCCCTTTTTAAAACTTGACAATATTTTTAGTTTTTCTGAACTTTCTTCTTGTTTTGGAAAAATGAGGATTGATTAGACTAAGGAATCCCCTCAAGTATCAAATCTCTTGCTTCTGAGGATTAGCAAGGATGAGTTTGATCATATACTGATAACTAACCTGTGATATACTTAGGTGCCTGGAGGGACTTCAGACATCCTCTCAAACAGCCTCCTTGTTTCAAGATAAACAGATTAAGAACATGAAATACCATTCTATGGTCACATGTCTGTGTAAAGGTAGAACCAGGACTTAAGAGTCTAAGCTTCCAGACCGTTCTGTGGTTTTGGTAAGATTAGGAAAGCACAAAAACTGGAAGACATGATCCAAAGCAGATAAAAATGAAAAGCAAAATAGATTAGGGAGAAGAAAGGAATGGTAATTATTCGTAGTGGGTCATTGGGGTAACTACTTGTGTAGATGAGAACACTGAGTGAGACCAGGGAAGGAGGGAGTGAAGCATGAAAACGGGCTGTGTCCCTCCTCTGCAGCAGCCCTTCTGCTAGCTGTGTCCCAGGGGACGCCACACAGCATGGCGGAGGAGAACCAGGAATGCAGTGAAGGGCAGATGAGTTCTGCCGTCCTGTCCAGCTAAAAGAAGGCCCGCGGCCATGTGCGCCACACAAGAACTCAAGGGTACCCCACTCTGCCGATCTCCCATGAACTTTAGTGACAGAGACAGTCTGTCCCTTGGTTTTATTAGCACTTTAGATGCAAGGAGTTTAGTTTACATGTCAGGAAGAAGCCCAGCAAACATAGCTTGAGAAACACGATTCTGGGGACAATTATAGCAAATTTGGGACCACCGTGCTGACTCAGAGAGCCAACATTCAGAGTAAAGTCACTTGCTACATTTCACAAAAAGCCAAATATTTGGAATGGGAGATAGCAGAGGTCTGGTCAACAGAATAGTGAAATGTTAGAAGCAAGATGACAGCTGGCTCTGGTGACCATCAGGAGAATGGTGGTTGAGGAGTGAGGAAACGTGTGGTTGGAAGTGTATCTGTGTGTAATAAAAGATCAGCTCTGCCTTAGATCCTTTTACTTAATTCCGAGTGTTATTTTTGAGGACTGTGGTAATCATACCTCTTTGTTTCTGTAAGGGATTGAAGAGAAGCAATAAAAATATTTGGATCTGGTTATTTGCCAGTGGGAGATGTGTTATACAATTAAGCTGTCATTTTTACTGATAGTTTATTATCAGCAGGTAATAAGAAATGTGCATTATTATAAATTGTCATACGGCATTTCATGCTGCAACATATCAGGTGTGTCTTCTATGGCAGCTCCAAGCAATCACGTGGAGATTGGTGCCATTATAACGATTATAAATCACATCATCCACTTTAATAGTTAAACAGTTTTCTCTAGTGGCTGTACTAGAAAATTGTTTAGTAATGATTGGTTGATTTTTATGATAATAATTTTATATAGTCTTCTAATATAAATAATTGAAGAATTAAAAAGAACATTCGTTTTTAAACACAAGCTTGGGAACTTTGTGTTTTTTTTTAGCTTATTTGTCTTTAACTGCTCTTTTGTGACCAAAAGAGCTCTCTCCATATATATTTTTAAGTTTAAAATTATATCCATAATATAGCCTAATAATAAATAAAGAGTTCATTTATATAATTTAATCTTGGAAGTTGAGAACATTCATTAAATTTATATAATTTATTTTTATACACATTTTATATATTTAGTATTCCTCTTAGATGAAGATGTGGTATAGTAGGAATAAAGAGGCCTCAACAGACCACTGCCTAATCCAGGCTCCTCTGTGGGTAGAAGCTACTGGTTAATAAGGGAATGGCTTGGTCTCTGCAGTAAAAGAAAAATAATTCCTGATCCTGGAAGGACTAAAGCTATAAAGATCCTAGCCTTGCTTTCTCTTTGGTTTTTTTTTTTTTTTTTAAACATTTTCTATGAAGATCTAGTTTCCTTTTATTAAGTCATTTAAATTCTTTTTAAAGATTTATTTATTTATGCATACAAGACCTGGGGTACAGGCCAGAGATGTGGGGTGGGGGGGTGATAGGATTCACCAGAGACAGAGTGGGGAACAGAACAGGCAGACTGACTGAAATACACTGCTGAGGGGAGCAGCAGGCGCAGCAGGAGAGGTCTGCTGTGCCATGTGGGTTGCTCCCTGGCCGGCCGGGGATCAAACTGGTGCTGCAGAGGCTGCAGATTGCTTCATAGTGTGGTGCTTAATCCCTTGCACCACCAGGGAGGCCCTCTTCGGTTTCTTTTGATATTTTTCCTTTGTCACACTTATGACCCTACTTTTCATCCTCCATCTTGAATTTTCTCATCCCCCATCTTGATTTTTATGTTCTTCAAAACTTAGCCCAAACTCATTAATGGCAAAACCACCTCCTTCACACATCCAGTTTTCTTTCCCCTTTCAATTTTGCTGTACCAGAAGTCTTTGGTTCCTGATATATCTGGATTGAATTCCGTCTGAGCCACAAAAGAGCTGCAAGGTTTCTTTATCTGTAGAATTGGAGTAAATATAGTCTCTGCCCTATTGGGTCCGTTGTCCTTTTCATGGCAGTTTTGACCGCCTTTTGCTTGGTGAGATTTTTAAAATCACACTGTGGGGTATGTTCTCAGCTAGACCACTGCAATCCAAAGTATGAAAAACTTTGTTCTCCGTGTTTGACCCAATGATGAACTTGCACCAGAATACAAATCCACCACATCTTCAAGCACACACATTTGTAACCAGACTTTCCTGAAGGCAGATAGGTCAAGCTGGAATCATTGTTAACCAGTCCGGGCTCTAAGGATGCTGGTGTGGCTGCTTCCTCTTGCCATTCTATGGAAGGCTGGGTGACTGACTCACAGTGAGGTGCGATAGTCACAGTGAAGAGGTAACTGTGCCAAGTGCTCACTACTATCAAGGTCTGCTCCATGCAGTTTGCATGAATGAAGTCACCTGAATCTCACAATGACCCAATGAGGCAGAGACTATGTTTACCCCAGTTCTACAGATAAAGAAAACTTACAGCTCTTTTGTGGCTCAGTTGGAATTCAATCCAGATATATCAGGAACCAAAGACTTTCCTATGCCTGAATCAGAGTTGTCCAGTGGAAATTTCTGCAAGGATGACAATGATTACATATTATATACACAAAATTGTTGAGATCTCATATACAGGTATCTGCTAGGTCCAGTAAGGTAGCCACCAATCACATGTAAGAACTTGAAATGTGACTGGCACAACTGAGGAAGTAAAATTCACTTTTTTAATTAATTAAAATATTGGTTTAAATAGCCACATAATAGCTATTTGCTGGGACAGCACAGATCCAGGTATTTTTAAATGCTGCTGACCATGTTAATAATAGGGAAACCAAAGCAGGAAACACATTAAGAGAATGTGATCTTCTTTTCATTTCTTCACTTCTACAGTTTCCCCAGATCTCACACTAATGAGAAAGTTATCCAGAATATTCCTTGTTAACTTCGTAAGCTTTCTTCATGCGAGTCGTCCTGTCTTTCCCAGCAGGCTCAGGTGTGGAGGTGATCATTAATCCAAGAAAGGGAGGATTATTCAGTCCATAATCCTTAATCTTTTTGTCCTACAGAATCTATTCCCATATCTGGTCACCCAGCTCTGTGAAGCTATGTCCCATCATGCGTCCTTCTGGTGATGTCACAGGAAGCAACGGAGTCAGCGTTAGCCTGTCGCCAGCCTGCAGGAGGTCGTGAAGTAAGGTGTTAAGAATTACCACATCATGTCGCCCCTCTATATAGTTGTGAAATGAAGATGCAGCACGTCAGGGGAAGTTCTATGCACTCAGAATTTTAAAAATAAGTGTCTCGGTTAAAAAAGAATATGCTGGTTGTCATAGAATGTTTAAAACTTTCTGAGGACAAAGTATATATTAGAGTGCATATTAGAGTCAGATGGTGAGTAGTTTATATTTTGTGAACTAAAGAACCTCTGATACCACTGCTTGAAAGCAATTGAGACATGGGTGATATGACAGTCCCAGCAAGACTTTGTTCACAAAGACAGGTGGTGGATGAGTTTGGCCTGTGGGTCATAATTCTGCATATAAGATGATGGAATTCTCCATCTCAATTCCTCCTATGTTATTTTATTTAATAATAGACTTTTATTTAATAATAGATGTAATCCCAAATACCCAATTTCTGAGTGAATTTACTCATGTAAGGATAATCAAGAATAAATAATATAGATAAGATTTCTTGAATGACTCACCAAAACTTTCGAAAATTATTTGGGAATATTGTAAAATTAAATTCACTCTCAAGAGCTGAACCAAAGAAAGCCACAAAAATGGCAAGCCAAGCAAACAGTTTCTTTTTGATAAACACACATTTCACTTTTACTTTGTTATAATTTACATTTAAGCCCTTCAGACAAAATTCTGTAGCTTGTGTTTGGATGGGCATTAGCAGGGGACTTGGTAAAGGGATTTATGGAAACTCGAACCCTTTACAAGAAACCTGAGGGGGAAAAGTTTACTCCCTTCTTGCGTGTGATAATTTCTGGCATCATAATGTAATAAAGGCAATATAAATGGAAATGAAAGTACCTTTTGCCTATATTTATGTAGTAAGTAGACACCCTCGCTCTTACATGCTTCCTTGAAATTGCTCTGTTTCCTATAATTGTTATTAAGAATTCTCCAAACTCAAGGAGTAACTTAGCAACAGTCTTATAAATATGTACTGGTGCTGTCTTTGAGGGATTAAGACGAAGAAGCAGGAGGGCACTTCAGCTGTTGAGGGACAGAACTTAGGACATTTTTACAATAACAACACAAGTCTGAATCGTCTTGTCTCAGTAAATGAGTAAACATTTTTAAAAATTCCATGATGATCTGTGATGGGGCAAATATACTATGATAGGGAAATTCTCCTTAAATAAAATTATACTCAAAATCTTTAAGAAATTCAATGGGAAACTTCCCTCGGTTGTTTTCAAGTCATAAGATAAGTGTTCGGTGCTTTCTGGTTTTTTGGAATTCTCCCGATGTCTTGATTTGTAGTCACTGCTTCCTTCTTCCTTCCGGGTGCTTAACCACAGAGGCATTTTGATATTATTTTGTGGAAGTGATAGCCTCTTGCATCTGTGATGAGGGAGTGGAAATTGAGTCCAGGTGGAATTAAAGACATCATGTATCTCTTCCAGTTAGCATGGTAAAAGTAGGTGACCTGGTATACGACATTCTTAGTGAGCAGCAGGGTGACTATGAAAAGGACCCAGAAAATTTCTGTTTCTGTGGACTTGTTCCCAGGAAGATAATGTTTATTTGGGGTAATAATAAACATTATCACACTGAAGAAATTTTGGCTGTAATGACATTTGTGTCAGTGATCCCACTTACAGTGCTTATCATGGTCATCTTTGTTTTCATTTTTATACTCTGAGAATAGACATTTTATACAGCTGGCTCTGGAGAGAGGCTAAGAGCTCAGGATTCAGCTCTGTGCCAGCCTGCACTCTGAGCCCCTTCTCTTTCTCTGAATTAGGGTTGCAGCCTATAGGTGTGGTGGCTGTGAGTGGCCAACTCTAACTCTATTTGTCTCTAGCTTTTAATTTCATTTTTTTTACTATCTTTCTGATGATCAAAATGATGTATGCTCATTAGAACAACAGTGAAAACTTCAGAAAACTGCAAGGTGAGAAAAATTATCACCAGGAATGCAGTTACTAAAGAACTACTTATTGCATTGTTCTTTCCAGGCTGCTGGTGGTGGTTATTATTTTGCTGCATGGTTGATATTTTAAAAATTGAGGATGTGAGGGTAATATGGCTGGGCCATCTGTTGCTCATTCATCTCCAGGTTGGTTGGGTTAATCTGACCGTCTTGGCCAATTTCTCTTCCTCTCTCATTGCTCCAAAGCTGTATGCTTGGTCAAAGATGAATCTTCCCACGAGAGAAGGGCTTTCCTATGGCCCAGGGTATATGAGCAGTTGTACCCCCCTCTAGTAGAACCTCCAGACAAACTCTCAAGGTCCATTTGTAAGCAAAAGAAGGGGAGTCAAACATCTAAGACACAAGATGCATTCAAATGCAACCTGCCTTAAAAAAAGAGATGGAAATTTTGCTTATAGATTTTTAAAAAGATTTATTTATTTATGCATACAAGAACTGGGGTATAAGCAAGAGGTGCAGGGGGTGAGAGGATTCACCAGAGACAGAGTGAGGAGCAGAACAGGAGGATCTACTGAAATACACTGCTGAGAGGAGCAGCGGGTGAGACAGGCAAGGTCTGCTGCGCCCTGTGGGTCAGCTCCCTGGCCGGGAATCGAGCTCATGCTGCAGTGGCTGCCAATAGCTTGATAGCACTGTGTCTTTATTAACCCCTGCACCACCAGGGAGGCCCTACAGATTTGTTTTCAATAACAAACACAGACTTTTCATGTGGTAGTCCATAAATAAATGTTCTTTTTACTGTATATGTCATACTCCATGTGGAATGTATATTATATTCTAGTTAATACTTTCATTTTTTTAGGAAGAGTTGCAGTGTGATTTAAACCCTTCCAGAGGCATACACACTTGAAAATATTTTCATGAAGTGACAATATCATGGACACCTAAGCTTGGTCAAAATTTCTTTTTTTTCTTTTCTTCTTTTTTTAAAGATTTATTTATTTGTGCATACAAGAGCTGGGGTACAGGCCAGAGGCGTGAGGGGTGAGAGGACTCACCAGAGACAGAGTGGGGAACAGAACAGGTAGACTGACTGAAGTACACTGCTGAGGGCTGCTGCGCCATGTGAGGTGCTCCCTGGCCGGCAGGGGATCGAACTCCTTCTGCCATGAACAGGTTCACAGGCTGCGTTTTAACCTCTTGCACCACCAGGGAGATTTTAAAAGGAGAAATTTCAAAAGGCCATGTGGGTCATCTTTGACCCACGGAGGCACGAGTTACTAACAAGCTCCTGTCCCTTGGCCTGCCTGGGAGTGGCTGTGCTGCTGTCCCTGTCCTGTCTTGGAAGTGGCCCATCCCACAGCCTGCTCTCCTGTTAGCTTTTCCTTTCCTTCTTTTCCATGTTCACTTCCTCCTGCCTTCCTGGAATTGTGCTCCTTAAGAGAAGACTATTTCTGTGGCTAGTGCTAATAACTTAGTGTTATTCTTAGTCTGATTTCCATTTCAGTTTCTCCTCTTTCATAAGTTGCTCTAGGATGAATTGCTTAATGTCCAATCAATTCCCTAGTTACCCTTTCCTTTGACCTCTGAGCCAGAATTCTGTCAGAGAACAAACACTGAACAATTTGAGCCCATTTAGTTTTGGAATGACTTCTTCTCTGGCTCAACATCCAGTAGTCAACTTTGGCAACTTTTCCAGTGGGGACTGAAAATAAGTGTGATTTTGCCACTGTTGGGTCCCATGTGCCAGATATGACAGGTAGGTAAGTTTATTGTTTTTGAACATCTACTCTATCTTTGCTGGATTTAAAAAATCTTTCCTGTTAGCTTTTGAGAGAAACATTTTAAATCTCGCACAGTAATGAGGAATTTGCCTTTTCTCCTTTCTCTAGTTCTGTGAAGTTTATAAGATTGAAGCTGTGATTTTAGAGCAACCTTTTCCTGAGTATGAAATGCCCCTTTTTCTAACAAGGTTACTTGCCTGAAGTCTGCTTTTCCCAAAGCGGCATCCTGCCCCAGCTGATTCCACCTGTTGCATGATTGCTACCTTTCCCTTTATTTACTTTGAGGTCCTCTTTCTCCTTGTGCTACAGGTGTGTGTATCATAAGCAACACATTTGGTTTTTAATTCAACCTAACAGTGTCTTTTATATAGACTATTACATCATTTTTATTTAATTTCTGATTTAACTGTGTTCATATCTTCACTCTACTTTTTTTTTTAAAGATTTGTTTATTTATTTATACAAGCACTGGGTACAGTCAGAAGCTCAGGAGGGTGAGAGAGTTCACCAGAGCCAGAGTGGTGAACAGAACAGGCAGACTGACAAAGTACACTGCTGAGGGGAGCAGCGGGTGTGGCAGGAGAGGTCTGCGCGCCATGTGGGACCCTGGCCAGCCGGCCGGCTGGGGATCAAACCTGTGCTTCAGAGGCTGCAGGCAGCTTCTCAGCTTCGCAGCCCAGCACTTAACTGTGCGCTACTGGGGAGGCCCTTCATTCTACCTTTTTTTCCCCGCTTGACCCATCTTTTTATGAAGCATTTCCTCCCTTCTTGCCCTTTAGGGGTAACTTTTTAATCTCGTCATTTGTTTTTGTAAGGACAGGAATGGACACAATGCAGGTTTTCTATGATCCAGCAGACCGGATAAAGGAGGAGTCAGAGTCTTCAGTGGTTTTGCAGGTTTTTATTGGGATTACCAGGTACACGGCAGGCAGGGGCGCTGGCAGGCCTCCCAGCCCCCAGCAGGTCTTCACTCTGGGCTCTCCGAGCTTCTCTCGGCTTCTGCTTCTCTTGCTTCTCTCTCGGCTTCTGCTGGCATCCCCATGACGCCGCCCTTAAAAGCCCAGTCGAATCCCATCTACCTATGCCCACACCCTACTCCAGGTGCCTGCCATCAGGCATGCATTCAGGACTGCAGGGTTTCATCATCCATCCTAATGGCGGGAGGGCAGAAAAGCCTGATGCTTTTACCTTACCCTACAGTTATCATTTCCTTTACTTGTTGTTAATTCATGTTTTTTGACTCTTGTTGCCCTAAATATTATAACATGTGTCTTTTTAAAGTTGTTACTTGAGC